ATAATGACCGGTCATTTCGGGGTCATTTGAGGTCATTTGAAAAATTTGCAAATGACCAGGTCATTTACCATCACTGGCATGAAAAAGTCTCGACTATATTTTTCAACTACATAATATTGTTATTTATTATATAGCTATACAATGCCGATTTTTCAAAAATTCGGCAGACTTAGCCGACTAAACCATTATCAGCATCCCTTCCTTAATTCAAAACCAGTAAATATTAAAAAACAGAAAGGTTTTTCAACACTTGGCCACTTATCCAGTTTGGAACAACTACATTGCAATAAAAGCAATAAATTTCCTATCTAACTACAGTACAAGATATTGAATTAGCTTGAGAACCCATAATATTCTATATCTTCAAGTTATAGGAATTACATATTGCATCTACAAGGAATAAATAAATGATGGATGCTTGTCTCCCAAAATCACGGCTTCCTCTTTATTCTTTCCTTTTAGAAATCGCTCCGGATCGCTAATTTTAAGTTTATTTGCTCTATTTAATAAACAATATTTAACTATTAATAATGTTATAGCAATAATTACAAGAAATGTCGCGATAGTATGTCCATATTTATAGGTTGGTGCATCTTGAGGTTGATATATTTGTGCGGCTATCATTCCACCAATGTTGCCACTGGCTATTAACATTGCACCGCCTACTGCGCGTTTCGAGTCACCTACTAGATTGTTTATTAACCTTTTGAAATTTAGAGAGTGAGGAGATGAATAAATAATTGTAAAGAAATGCATATAGAGATATTAGAATCATACCACGTTATTAATATAGGAATACATGGATACAATCCCAATGTATTTTACTAAAGTGTAAAAATATTAGCATTAGTCTCTAACACAGTTTAATTGTTGATTATAAGACTTACTAGCAATACTAGAACTCGGTGCCAAAAGCAATACATATCCTATAATTGCTATAAATAAAAAAAATATCATATATGGGCCACGAACTTTGTATCGGTCAGATAATATCGCAACCACATTCATTACAAAACATCCCAAGATAAATGGTGGAACGGAAAGAAGTTGTGAAATAACTAATAAAGTAATAAAAATAAAATAAAATCCAATAAAAATAAATTTATTATTTTTACACAATAATAAACGAATATTAGAAATGTTAAACGTACTGGAATTAAATCCCATACCATTTACAATCGCCGGAAGAAAGAAAGCGAACGAATAACTGGGAATTGACATAGTAAATTGTATAAATAAAGCTATGTAGATTTTCTGATAAATCGTAATAAGACCAATTAATAGCATGAAATGATATTAACGTATCTATAGAAAAATATTTGTAGACCTACCCAATCCTTAAGAGCTTCGTAAATCTGATATTTATCCAAATTAGTTGTGCTAATGTATATTCAGCTCTGGATAATAGTACCATGTTGTTTATATATTTGATTTGTTTTATAGAAATTTTCTTTCTACTAAGCAAATTAGCTATTTGCTTGATTTCAATACCAAGTTTCCTTTTTATCGTGGGTTTTATATCTGCTGCAGTCAACCATACTCCAAGATAACAAGCTATCTCTTTCTTTTTCTTTGCAACTATTTTTTTCTTTCCCTCTTTGAACAGAACTGATTTTTCTTCTTTATTTTTCTTTTCATTTATTACCAAAAGTTCTGTTTTTTAGTATTTAATTCAATGTTGTTTATCTGAAAGAATGATTCTGCGATATAAATTAGATTCTGCATGTCCTCTTTAGAGTTTGCTAGGAGTGCAGTATCATCGGCGTAAGCTAAACCTGCAACTTGTAACTCTTCTTCTTTTGTTTTCCCCTGTGTTAACTCTAGTGGCCATTCTAATTT